CCCCCCCCCCCCCCCCCCCCCCCTCTCAGTCAGTGCCCCAAACCTGCCTCCAAGCCCAGCCACCCCCGAACCAACAGGCTGTCATGCCTCGCCCGATACCTGAGCGCGGTTGATGGTCGCCGCATTGCGGAGCGACGTTGTGATGATGCTGCGCACGGTCGCCATCGTGGTTCGTGACAATTTTGACAAATGCGTCTATTTATAGTGGGTACTTGGCCTGATAAATTTGCTCCATTGGTGATTCTGTTCTCTCCCCTCTTATATCAAGTGTGTTCCGTCTGACAAGTTGACGGTTTTTGCTCGTCATGTTGTATTTCGTGGCGTCAACAAGTGTGATAATTGCTTCATAAACTTACATTGATCTCCCATCATGATCTTCAATATCATGAAAATGTACGACATTTGCTCGAGCTGGCGACCGTTGCTGGCACGAATGGGCGACAGCGCAGCACACAGAGCGGCAGCGGCAGCGGTGGAGGAAGATGGCGAGCGATTGGGCCGAGGAGCGTGAAACGCTGCTTGCCATTTATGACAATGCCATTGAGGTAGGGCCCGCATTTCGTTGTGAGAACAGGCCCCGGTCAGGTTCGGCGAATGGCACACGTTTCGCTCACCATCACCGCCAAAATGCCCCCGCTATGTGTGGTCGGGGGGTATTTGGTTTGAAATCCAGGCCACGGATCAGGGGTTCTACATGCGCCTGAGGCCAGACGTGGACCATGAACAGCAGTGCTTTGTCCAGTTGGACCTGACGTTTCAGGTGCCAACCAACTACCCAGAGGCAAAGCCCACAGTGCTGCTCGCTAGCCCGCGCGGCCTCAACCACGAACAATTTACCAGGTACGGTTGGTCCTTCATCTTCATCTTGAATGCACGCGATGAATGTGAGCAGTCCCCTGCGCTGGCATATGTTGTCTGCTCTAAACATTTTGAAATTGGCACTAGGCTGGTTCAGGACATTGAGGAGCTGGTGGCAGACGCAAGCGAGGCACAAGAAGCATGCGCCATTGACGTGATCCAGGTATTTCGCTGCACCTGCTCTGAATTGCCGTGTGCCTCGTGTCGCAAGAGAGCAAAGAGAGAAATGGGGAACCTTGAGACGAGAAGCAAGTGTTTGACCCATACTGACACGTGCGTGGCTGCTGGGCATGTGACAAAAATATCGACATTAGTCGCTCAAAACGGGCTTGGAAGAGATGAACCAGCCTCCCAGCACATGCGTCATCTGCTTGGACAATCTACGGAGCGACAATCTTTACAAGACCCGCTGCTTTCATTGCTTCCACTTGTCCTGCCTCATTCGTTATCTTTATTACCGACACCACAACATGGAAGCGGTCAGTCCCGTGCCTTACATTTTGCTGCGGAGGGGGTTCAGTTGGCTGTGCCCTACGCGCTTTGATTTGAGGCCTTGTTGGAACTAGGACATGACGGCTGAGGATCATGCCCGACTGCGAGCGCAGTATGCAACTGATGTACGTCAAAAGTTTTGGGATTGTTGGAGGGTCTTTTGTTTTGCGCTGTGTGAGTTTGCAGGCCAAGGGGGCTTGATCTGTTTGGTGGCATCGTGCGCTCGCCGTCTGTCAGGAGGAGATTGCCGCAGCGCGGCTCAAGGAGGAACGTGCCAAACCAAGCCCTTGCCCGATTTGTCGCGAAGCCATGCCCGCAGATCGCACGCTCAAGAAAGCGGCGGAGGAAATTGCCGGCATGCCCCCAACGTTGGATCCGGCGGGCTCTGCTAGTCCGGTGAAAGACTTGCCAATGCCTCTATCACCGCAGCAGCGGAAAGAGCAGGAGAAACGTCAAGCTCTCTTCCAGCGGCAACTGGCCAAGGGTGGCATAATTTGCGCCAGCTAGTTTGCTCCCATTCTTATTGCGCATGATTTTTCATTGGACGAGCGCCGCCGGACTCGAGTGTCGGACGTTGGTGATCCTTCACACGGGGACTTGTCCGCGCACAATCGCACATCATTACACAACTCTCTGCATGTGGAACACGGAGGTGAGAAGGAGACGGGAAGAGATGTGTGACAGGTTGACATGTCCTCTTGCACTGGTGAGCAAAAGAGCCAGGTCAAGGGCCAGACGACGTCAATTGGCGTGAGGATTATCATGATGAAGATGATCATCATCACGGGCACTCCTCGCACATTGGGATGACGCGCGTCGGTCCGTGCAAGCCGTGCAACCGCACAGCGTGTACGCTGACAATAAACCCATGCCAAGCGGACGACAAGAATGATGGGCAAGTGCGTACATTCAATTATATGAACAAAGGCGACCCGGCGGGCTGAACAAGGGCTGGGCAGCTAGGGATGAGAAATGATCAAGCGGGGGATGACAGAGTCGGGGATCTCAGAGCACGGGGCCCAATGTGGTGTTGAGAACAAGGTTGACAAAAGCATCACAGTTCCGCGCAACGCCAGGTGTAGTGTAGAAGCAATCCTCAAGCAGGTCCCGGGTGACTTGTGCGTGGCACGACTCGGCTGCTTTGACGACTTCTTCCAGATGTTGGTCGAGCGAAACCCCCAAAGTGGCGTAGGGGCGGAGGTAGTCGGGCAGCCAATCCCCAAGGCGCTGCGCGGCAAATGCCGCGTAGCTATTGCGAGCTTCCCACCAGAGCTTGAGACAGGCACGGAAGACTGCTTCGCAGGCGGCGTCATATCTTCCCAATTGGCGCACAATGGCGCGCTGCACCAGTGTTTGACCGGCCCCAGCCAGATAATAGATGCAAAGGCTGACGGCGCCCATGCCAAGCCAGGCTCGATACTCGAGGCCCGGCATGTGCAAGATCTGTTCGCAGCGAGCGCGTACTGGAGCAAGTTCATTCCAAGCATGATTGAGCCAGAGCTGAAGATTGGACAAGGTCGTGCGGGGCTGAACACTCAAGGCATGGCTGTCGGGGGGCGCGACGCGGGCCACGCCATCATCGGAGCCAGCCGAAGTCGGCGGGGAGGCATCGGAATCCTCAAGGCCCTCATATTCCGACGCGGCCAGCACCTCCCAGCCACGGTGCAGCGCCTCGGGTGTGCATGCCCGAGTGTCAAGAAAATGCCGGCGAGCTGCCATGGCAAACCCAACCGAAGCCGAGCCCAGGGCCAAGGCGCGCACCACGCGCAACTCCCATCCAAGTGTATCCATCTTGGCAAATCAAGCAATAAGTGCCCTGTTCACGGTTGAATGGCTCGAAAAGAATAAGAAGAGGCAGGACCCTCACACCCGTCCAAACCGATGCACACCCCCCTGGGTACGCCAACCTCAAGCCCAACGAGTCCCTGCGTTTCTACCCCCGTACCTCTCGGTCTCTATCAATCACTGGCTCGTTTAATACTTTGCAACAAGACGTCAAGTTGATGATGATCAGCGCCAAAAAAAAAATTTACATGTTAATAAAAAATCCGGGTATGAAAATAAAAACAGAAGGCTGCGCGAGCGTGTGTGTGTGTGTGTGTGTGTGTGTGTGTGTGTGTGTGTGTGTGTGTGTGTCTGTCTGTCTGTCTGTCTGTCTGTCTGTGTGTGCACGAGTGTGAGTGTGAGTGAGTGCTCGCTCTGTCTCTCCGTTTCTCTCTCACAACCTGTTTGTGCGTGCGTGTGTGTGCCCTGATGGCCATGTCCCCGTGTCTTCGTGGAGCGCTTGAGTGCTTACTTTTTTCGCTCGAGTCGTTTGCATCGTTCATCTGTAGGCGAGCTTCAGCAAATAGAGATGGTGTTGGCTCAAGACGAAATAGGATGGCACGGGCCGGTCTGCGCAGTAAAAGGCAACGCCTTTGACCAATCGGGGTCATCTTTTGGATTAGGTGCACGTTGCGGGAAGAAGAAAAAAAAAAAAAAAGGAAAGAAGAAGAGAGAGGAAAGTCGAAACAATGGGGCCGAGCTCAGTAGAGACAATGGGTATCGGGTCGAGCCGGATCGTGGCCCGTTCAAAAACTGGCAAGGGGCAGCTTGGAATGGCCAAGCACATTCCTATTTCTTCTTGCCCTTCTTGCCCTTGCTATTGGCCTTGGCGGGCTTGCCGCTGGGCTTGGGCTTGGCATTGGTCTTGCCTTTGTTGGCCGCCGTCTCTTCTGTTGGAGCGTCGACTTGTGGCTCCAACTCACCCAGTCGAAGCTACCATGTTATCGTCCCGGGGGGTCAGCATGCACAAGTAACATTAGCGTTGAGATGATGGTGCTACAGGCTGCTGCAAAAATCCAGGAACATCGAGCATGTGAGCACGTGAGCGTGTGAGCATACCTCAACTTTGCGCTCTGGGATGTTTTTGATCTGTTGCGCTACATAACACCAGAGCTGCTTGCCTGCCAAACACAACCCGAGATCCAACGTGAGGCCTGCCGCTTCAACACCAAGCAGAGACCATTCTCTTCTCTTGCGCCCACCCGGTAGCGCAATGTTGCGAGGTGAGAGAAAAACAGAAAGCACTTACGCGTCTGAATATCAGGGCAGATGGCGCTGCCGTCAGAGTTCTTGAGCTGGACGCGCGCACGACCCACTTGAAGATAGTCACGTGAATAGTGTTTGTTGCCCTGAAGGTGATGCCAAATCCGTGTTGCCAAACACATGAGAAGATCAACCAGTGTGGCAATGGCAGTGCTATGGCGAGCGTGCAACGGCAAGAGTGCGCCCGTGTCTTTTTTTCTTTTCAAGCGAGGCAAAGAGGCGAACGAGGCCAACCTCAAACTTGATGGTGAGGCCCTTTTCAGCTTGGAGCTTAAGCAGGATGGTGAGAATTTCGCGAGGCGTGGGGTTCTCGACCGCCAGCTCTTTGGCGATGCGGCGGCCCTCTTGGACCGTCAGCCGCGCATTGATGTATGCTGGGTACAGCACGACAAATCGTGCCGGGTTGCTCGGGTCCTTGGTCATGTGTGCCATGTTGGCGTGTCGAGCGAGCCTGAGCTGACGCACAAATTCTTCACAAAGTGTGTGTCTGCGTCTTCAGGGTTGGCTACCCACCCCCTGTTTCAGCACACGCTCGACGAAACAGCCAAGACGCAAGGGCAATGGCGAGTAGCCAGGGAGAAGGCGAAAGGGTTTGGCGAAGCAAGGTGCCGCCGCCACGACGCGATCGATCGCCGCCTGGGCGCCGCTCACCAACAGCCGACAGAGAAGGGTCTGACAATCGAGCGTCAGGCAGAGAGTAGGGCGCAGAGACTTGGAAAATGGTTCCAAGCATAAAGGGGGTTTGGCTAAGCGGTCAGAGAACCGATTCGAGCGGTGCGTTGTGTCAGAGGTTGAGAGCAAAGGTCAAGGTGTCGTCGTGTCAGCCTCCGGCTTTTGTGTTGAGGAATGAAATCGCCACAACATCTGTTGTAAACAACCTATATCAATGGAACAACAGCAGTTGTCAATCACACAATTTTTTATTTGTCAGCATAGCAAGGGCCAACTTCGGCGCAAGGAACAAATTTGGCGCTGCTGCTGCTACTGTTGCTTGCATGGCCGCTTGTTGGGGTGGATCCAGCTCATAGTAGCTCATCGCTCATGGCTCAATGGCTCGGGTGCAAACAGACGCTGGCTTACAGGTAAAAATGAAGGAGGGCTCGTTGGTGGGTGGGTGGTATTTTCTTCGGGACGGCTGATTGTGTCTTGGTGCATGGCTTGGGCACTTTTTTGCTCTTCTTATCTTCCGTGTGCTTGCTTCTCCGACGACAAGCCATCATGGCGCAAGCCGAGGTGGACGCCTGCCTGGCGGCAGATCTCCAGAACGAACAGCATGAAGGGCGCACCCACTTGACCATTTGCATGGATTGCTCTGGTTCGATGATGGGGCCGAAGATGACGCACGCTCGTGAAGGAACGCTCTCCCTCTACGCAAACCTCCACCCCGGCGACACAGTGGAGTTGATCACCTTTTCGTCGATGGTCGCGACCGCCATTCCTCGCGTGCTCAAGGATGACAGCACAGATGATCGCTTTGCCGCAGCGGTCCAACGCATGTGTGCTCGAGGCTCCACCGCTTTTTATGACGCCATTCTCAAGGGCCTTGAGAGTCTCTCCCGGGCCGATGCCCTGCGAGGCAATGATCAGAAAGCAAAGGCGGATCAGGCCGAGCGCACCGTTTCCACCAAGCGTGTGCTCGTCGTGGTGACCGATGGCGAGGATACAGCTTCGCATCGTGCTCTGTCAGACGCCGTGCATGCCCTGGCTCAGCCATATTTGGACAACTTTATGTTTGTGGTCATGGGGATCAATCTCATGCACCAGGGCTTGGAAGCGGCAAACGCCTTGTGCCAATATACGCACTGCAAAATGTACAAGGTCAAGACGCAGAGCGCGCAGTGCACCGCCATGGGCACGGCTTTTGATCGAGCCGCCACTCGCATGTTTGACAACTCCATGACGTGCTTTTCTTCCGATGCAGCCCCAATTTTGCGCTCGTCCCAGCGCAATGCCTCGCGCTGCTGCTCTTCCGTATCGAGCATGGAAGCTTTGGAAGATCGCTTGGCAGACTTTGATAGCGACGAGGAAGAGGTGGATGTGGCTTGCGCCACCTCTGCAACGCGCCGTCGCCAGCCCACGTTTAGGTTGTCGCGGGTGGGGCGCCGAGATCGCGCCGGCAGTGTGTCTTCGGACGATTATTCTGACGCAGATTCCGAAACAACGGATTCGGAGGACGAATACTGTGAGGACTTGGCGTCGGACGCCGACGCCACCGAGCTACCACCGCGACCCGGTGGCGGCTTGACACCCCCGCACATGGCGGCCTCGGGCTCGAATACGGGTGGCTCCTGGTTTTCTCAGCTGGGGCGCCGAGTGTTTCAGCATCTGCGCCTAGTTGGAACCCAAGGTCGCGTGCTCCAGGTGGACGAGCTTGACCAGCCCGCAGAACCCGTGGGTGAAGTGAGCAACAACGGTGGGCTCCCCGTCGCGTCTTCCACCTCCCCGCCACCCCCATATCAACCATGAACGACTTTGAATATGGTTTCTGGCATGCACGATGCACGGGCACGGCAGCAAGAAGCAGAGTTGGAAGAAAAGTCGAGTTGAGGCTCTGAGAGTCCGAGCTCGATGCCTTGTTGAATATGATGTCTGTCAATATCATGTTGTGGAGTATGTGCAAATTGATAAAAAAATACTATGATGAAGACTCGTCTCGCGACAGAGAGAGCGTTGCTCAATACCGGGACTGGTAGCCAGGGTGCCCTCCTGCGTTCCGTGTGCACCCATTCCCCTCGGCGGCATTTGAGCACATGAGACAAGATGCACAATAAACAACATGATTTGTACCCAGCCACGACTGAATCTATTTTCCATTATCCCCTTGTGCAGCTTACAAAGAGGCGCCCACAGAGAGAGAGGGCGAGAGCGACAGGATTCTAGTTTTATTGTATTGACATGTAAATTGTTTTTGATAGATGCGCTTAGCACAGTCATGAACATGCGAAGAAGGCGGGAAGGAGGGCGAATAGGGGGACCCAGACACCGGCATGTCGAGTCATTACAGTTCGATCAAGCATAGGATGCATTGGAAGCCATGTGCTGCCATCATTAGCAGCGTCACAGCGGGTCTTCAGGCCCCCGAGCCGTCTCAGACGGACTCCTGGGCGTGCCTGGGCGGTGTGCCATGCTCACGCTTGAAGCATGCACGGGCTTTGTACTGTCAGATGCGCTGGATGCGGTCGTGGTGGCACCGGCAACAACGCTGACCTGCTCGTGAGGGTCGGAGGCCGGGGGAAGATGAGGCATGGCTTGCGGTGCCTTGTGCTGCTGCTGGCTTGCCACCGTCGCCGCGATTGAAGTGTTTGCATCGATTGAAGTGTTTGCATCGATTGAAGTGTTTGCACCAACCATGGTCGGCCTCGTGCTCTGGCTGGTTGACAGGGTGGTCTTTGTGGCTGTTCCTTCGGTGCGTGTTGACGATCCTGGTGCGTCGTACTCGTGCCCGGTCACCTTTATCTCAGGCGCATTGCGCAGGCAAAGTGCAGCGAATGAGCAAATTCAAGCCGGGTTGGCATGCAGCCGGGCCTTTGGCAAGACGTACAGGGGCTGTCCAGTTTGATGATTGAGCTTGGGCGGGGGCCAAAGCCGGGTCTTCTTCACCCACACGAGCATTGCGGCAAACCCATAGAAATGCCAACCCAATGACAATGCCCGCAACAAATCCTGTAAACCGCTGCACCCCATGCCCCGTACCTAAGCAGCTTGCACGCCGCTGTCAGTCATGCCGCCCTTGCTACCATCATTGAGCGGTGGTTGCGATCAGGCCACTGACCAGCTGCAGCCCGGGGCGATCCGGGCCCTGCATTCGAAAAATCACCTGGCGAGCTTCACACACAGACAAACCAACACCACAAAAAAAAAGCCTGAGCTGCCAGACTTTCACCGCCCATCCACCTTACAAAGACGTACCTTGCGCCATCGTGCCCTGCAGTCTCCCTTGCCGCCGCCGCCGCTGTTCCCCGAGCTGGCCGCCGACGCTGCACCACCTCCGCCGCCATTCTGAATGTGTGTGTGTGTGTGTGTGTGTGTGTGTGTGTGTGTGTGTGTGTGTGAAAAAAAAGAAAAAAACCTGACATGCCTATCAGGAAGTGTAGTAACCATCACACTTTCTCATCCATCACCATCTCTGTCTCTCTGTCTCTCTGTCTCTCTGTTCAAATTTTTTTTTCAAAATTTCATTTTCTCTCTCTCTCTGTCTCTCTCTGTGTCTGTGTGTGTGTCTGTCGGCACTGTGGGCAGTGAAGACGGGGGGGGAGAAGGGGGACGCAGCAGGTTTGTGCGTTTCGTTTTGATGTGATGGGTTGTGCTGGGTGACGGTGTGCAGAGGTCTGCTGCGTCACACATGGGTGTGGTTGGACTGACTGGTTGGCTGGCGTTTGATATCTCATGGCACCGAAAGTTGGTAGGCACCGATGCAGTTGGCCCTGGCGGCCACACACCTATCGGTTCTCTGATCCGTGAACGTCCAACGCCCACGAGCCATCGTTGGCTTGCCAATATCATCAACGTCATGGTATGAAGGGTTTGGCCGCCATGTCTTGTGCCTCGCAAGAAAACCAAAACCCCCTCCCTTGGGCGCTTTGCTCATCTTGTTGGGGCTTCAACACTCAAACCCGGTTGTTCACGGTCGATGCCCACTTCCAGGACACGACCAACCCGATTGCTCCGGCCGTGCTGCGCACCCCGCGCGCCAGTCGTTCGACCGGCCCAAAGGTACGTCGTTCGCTGTCCCCGACGTCGCCAATCTTTCATCCGAGGCTTCCGCTTGGTCGCTTGACTAAGGGCTGGCCGACCCGATTCTCCTTCTTCCGCTGGCCCTCTTGCATGATCCTACATCTCTCACGCTCTTTCCTCCTTGGACAACGCTCAAACCTTTCTCTGGCCATTGAAACAGACCCGCGCTGTACGCCGCCTGCAAATTGCAGAGGACCCACCTGCACAACCGCCGCTGGCCGGTGAAGCAAGCACAAACGACACCGAGGGGTCCGAGCAGGTCTCCGATCAACTACCTGTCCCTTCTACGCCGTCTCGCATCGACGATCTTCTACGCTCTCGACGTGAAGCGAAGCGCAGTCGACGAGAACTCTTGCTTGGCCAAAGCGCCGAGGCCCTGCAGGTAACAACAAATTCCTCACCCATCCAACGCCAAATGCCCTGGCAACCTGGCTCCTCCTCTCACTCCGACCTTGACCTTGGACCTTGCTCGCCACTCGCGTTGCGCTTGCTTCTTCTCTAGCACTCGACACGGTTTTTAGCAGCTCACCGCCAGCAAGCCAGCAGCCCCACTGCCGAGGCTGAGACGTCGGACGACGACCAAGCAGCCGCCGCATCTGCTGCCCCGGTTCCCACTGACCCTACAAGCCCCGCCCAGGTACTTGGCTCGCGCCATCAAAACGCTTGCCCATATAATCATGCCGAATCACTGCCTCTAGCTGCCCAGCGCTGTATGAGAGCAATCCTACCGTACTCCTCACGATGCGCAACTCGCTTGGTCGGATGGCAGCCCATCGAGTCTTTTACCCAGCTTAAGGAGCTTCCTCGAGCGCTGCGCCTGCCCCCAACACATGCCCTTCTTTTACAGCAAGGCGAACAGCTCATCCTGCTTGCCAACCAAATGGCTAAGCGCGGCACACCCACCATGCATCGTCTTAAACCACAAGTCGAAGCCGCCTCCCGCCGTCGGTTTGATATGACCACCCTAAGCCACCTCGTGGCTTACATTCCAGACGTATTGCACGTCTCTCGCCTGGAGCCCAAAGACCGCTCAGATCCCACCCTACGCATTCTGCTGACTGTTCCAGAGGACAGCACTTCAATGGACCGCCCCAGCGGCCCAGCCGATGCTGCTCGAGGTAATGATCAAGTGTCGGATGCCACTTCTGAGAGCACTGAGCAGCACGCGGGCAAAGAAGCCAGCTCAACGCCTGGCACTACCCCCGGAACGCCAGGTGATATCAAACGGGTGTTGGCACCCCAACAGATTGCGCATCTCCATCACATCTTGCGAGCGCGCCTGTTAGACCAGGTCTTTGAAGCCCACGCTGAACATCTGCAGTCCCTGCCTGGTTCACCGGCAGTTGCACGCGACCAACTGCAGCGCTGGGCCCGTTCCTTTGCGCTTGCGGATGTACCTCTCATAAAACCCGCCTCCTTGCCGGATCTCAGTCGCTCCCGGCCCATGACAGCTACCGAGGCACTGCAACGTGTGCACACCACCGCACACACCCAGCCGCAAGATACCAAAACTTCTGCCACCGGGCAACCCACTAAAGAGCCCGAGCCCGAGCCCGAGGCGACGGCCACCATAGCCGGCCCCCAAAACCTCAGTCCCGTCCTTTCCAAGGCCGCCACCCCTAGGCATCCAACGACTCCGCACAGTCAAGTAGCCAGCCCCAAACAACGCCTCGCTACTGCGCTGCTGTCTGCTGCTGGCCGCGAACGAACCGACACGGCCCATGCAGGAGCGCTGCCGGCGAGTCAAGATGGGACGGCTGCCAACGAGGGGCCGCCCGGTGGGTCCACGCTGGCACCCACAACCAGTGGCCGCTTGCTGCGAGAAGGCTTGGTCTCCTCTGACATGCTGTCACGCATCGCAAGCCGCCAGAAGCAGCGCACTGAAGCCCAGCTCACGATGGCCTCGCTTCAGAGTCAACGACAGCACGAATTGGAAAAATTGCCCGTTGTAGTGAATGCCTTGTGGGGCTCGTATCGACTCAAAAGTTCGCAGCCTCTACCGAATGCCATCGAGGCCGTCAGCAAATCATGCCGCATGGCTCGTGACGTGGCCGAGCGGCAGATCCGCTTTGCTGCTGAAACGCTGCCTGACTGGTGCCAAATCTTGGAACGAGATGGCCGGACCTTTTGCAAGATCAACCGCAAGCAAACGCTGGGCGAGGTACGCACTCGGTGCTTCAAGTCTTGACCTTTGCTGCACAAATATAACATGTCCTGGTTTCCTCTTTTCTTGGCTAGGTTAAGAAGCAGATCGATATTCGGCGTAGCACGGCTGCGCAGGCTGACTGACCGCATCAATGTGGTGCGACATGCATCCTCTCGTCGGTTGGCCACCTTGAGGCGGTCGTGCGGAGACCTACTTCCTGGCCGCAAAAGCCCATTTGTCATCACCCATCACCGTAACCCGCAGCGTAGAGCTACCGATTGCTCAAGCTTTCATCCCTGACCCAACCCGTTCTGGACCAGTCTCGTATTCAAGCCGACCCGAGGAACCAAATGTGAAACGGAAAAAAATAAATAAAAAAAAAATTGAATATGCCAGATAAATTGGAGTGACGTTGTCGTCTAAACTTTTTCCCCATTGCTCATATCACTAATTCTTGCGCACGATTTGAAACGATGCTGTTAGGGTCTTGAGGGGTCGAGGTTGGCAGAGCCGTCGTGCCACTACTGGGCCTGAGCAGCGGGTTCTTGGACCTGCTCCCGAAGCTCGGCCAAAATGGCTTCGCCGCCTTCTTGGCGCAACTGTGATTGCACCAAATCAAAAGGTTCCAAAGCACACACAAAGAACCCAAGTGCAGATGTGAGATGATTACGGTGCTGAACCACATGCCCGGGAACAGCGCGTCGAGCCATTCCTTCAAACAACAAGGATGCTGTGCTGACCTTTTCGCACAGCCGCGAACCCAGGGCCTCGGCTTCAGGGACGGTGGTGCACGGTCCGCTGATAGAAACGAGGCAGCGGCGCTGGCCATCGAGGCTCGCCACCAGGCCCTCCAAGAGCAGCTCTCCGCTAGCCAAGGTTGAGGTTGTGGCAATTGGGAGGGAGCAGCCGCCTCCAATGGTGCGCAAGAAAGCGCGTTCCGCCCGACAACGCAGGGTCGTTTCTTTGTCCTCCAAGACGGCACACAGTCGAGCCACCTCTGCATCCTTACCGCTTGCGTCCGTAACTTCACGCACCTGTGTTTTTAAGCATGTCGGACACCGGTCAGTGGCGTGCACAGGGAGAGCGATGTGTGCAGGTGGGCTGGACCAACCTGGATACCAAGAGCGCCCTGCCCAATGGCATGGCGGCTGACGGTAAGTGGCAGGAACTGTCCAATGCGAGCTTCCAGACCGAGGCGAATGAGACCAGCTGCAGCCAAGCAGAGGGCATCATAGCCATTGGCCGGATCGTCCAACTTGCGAAGGCGGGTCATCACGTTGCCGCGGACGGGTGCAAACCGAAGCTGTGGGTAGGCGGCAGCCAGCTGGGCTCGACGGCGCGTAGAACTGGTGCCGACGACTGCTCCGGCAGGCAGCTGGGCCAAATCCTTAATTTCAGAGTGGCGATGGTGGAACACAACCACATCGCGTGGATCCTCGCGTGGTCCAATGGCAGCCAATTGAGTGCCAGGCGAAATGGTGGACGGCAAATCCTTCAGAGAGTGGACCAGAATGTCCACCTCTTGGGCCAAAAGGGCGCGAACCAGAGCGTCTGTGAAAATGCCAGTGGTGGAAAACTTGTTGAGGTCGAGGGTCAGGTTGGCATCGCCAACGGTCGAAAGCGGCACCACCGAGAAGCGCACGCCGGGGTGGGCGCGCGTCAAGCGCTCAACGACCCAGCGCGTTTGCCACATGGCAAGTACTGAGGAGCGCGTGCCGATGCGAATGTGCGGGCTTTCGCGACGAAAGGCATGCACGGCATCCACCAGAGCCGCCACGGCCCGGGGCTCCATCGTGGGGGTCATGCCATGACCCAAGTTGGCAATGTGGCCACGGGCGGGAAACTTGGCCATCATCGCGCCGACCCGCGCGCGGATGACATCGTCTGAAGCGTACATGACCGCAGGATCCAGGTTGCCCTGCAGCGCAACGCGACCCTTGAGGAGGGCGGCCACCTGTTCGACATCAGCTGTCTCGTCCAGGCCCTGCGTTGCAAAGAGATTGGTTAGAGAGGGCAGGGTGAGCAAGAAGAACATCCCATGAACATATGAACAATTGGCTTATGGACGCCAAATCTCGTCAGAACAAGGTTGTTTGGCGGCGCAGACAAGGATGAACCACCTGAACGTCGTAGTCGGTGTGCTCAAGGTCTTTCATGGCCCAAGCGGCGCCCTTGGCAAAGCAAATCATCGGAACGGCCTTGGGGCCAAGCAGGGCCTTGACTGAGCTGGCAATGCGTGCGAGACGGGGCAATACGAATTCACGGAAAATGTCGTGCTGCAGACTTCCTGCCCACGAGTCGAAAACCTAGAAGATGGGCGAGAAGAGAATGCAAACCGGGCCGGAAAGGTCAGCAGCCGATGGTGGGGGGTGGGGGTGGGGGGTGGAGTTGATGGGCCACCGGCGCTACCAAGGGGCATGATGTATGCACCTGAAGCATTTGGGCTCCAGCATGGACTTGGCCCACCAAATACTGGATGGTACAGTTTGTAATCATATCCAGGAGGCGGTGGGAGGCCTCGGGGTACTGGTAGAGCCATGCGCGGGCCTTGTCCCAGGTCTTGGAGGATTTGCCTTCGATCATGTAGGCGAACAGCGTCCATGGGGCGCCTGCAAAGCCAATGAGGGGGGCATGGCCCTGAAGTCGATGGCGAGTCAATGTGATGGCTTCGAAGACGTAGCCGAGCTCGGCTTGGACGTCCACTGAGGGGTTGAGTCGTGCCAGATCTTCCGGGGTCTCAATGGGTTTGGGGAAGACTGGCCCAATGCCTGAGGCAGCACAAAGGCGTGAGGTTGCAGAGCAGGGTGGGGGCAAGGCATGACCCCGCAGCTGTGAGGTGTACGCAAGAAATTTGGGTCGTCACAACATAGGCGGGACGGACGCACCAGGCTGCATGAGGCACTCGAGACCCAGGGCCTGAGGCACGACCAGGATATCGGAAAAGATGATGGCCGCATCTGTGGACGGCTCGCGAGGGCAAGGATGAGGAGGCGGCGGTGTGGGAGGTGTACCAGGGGAGGTAAAAAAAGGGGGGTTCAGTGGTGGCAATGCGGCGATGGCGACGAGCGGAGACAGCCACTACCCAGGGGAAAGCGAACGAGAGGCTGAAGGGTGAGCTGGCAAGCAATGGCCGGTGTTCGGCAGCGCACGAAAAAGTCGATGCCATGGCTGGCCTGTTTGGAGGCGAAGGAGAAGGTTGGCATATAGAGCAACAGTGAGAGGGGAAGGGTTGCAATGGCACGGGCTCGCGCAGTGCAGGAAAAGCGGCTTGGCAGTGCAGGAACGAGCCTCGAGAAATTCTGGCAGATAACGACCAGCCTGGCGCATGACCCAAACGGGAACGTAGGGGGTTTCTTCGCCCCGGGCTGCCTGCAGAATGACTTCATTCTTCATGGGCGGGAAGTTTTCGGGGCGAGCCTCGTGTGCCTCGGGCCCGCGGCGCTCTGCCGCATGGGCCGGTAGCACTGAATGGGCTGGATTTGCCATGCTGCCTGCGTGTGTGTTTGTGTGTGTGTGTGTGGCACACCCCGCCATTCCTCGTGAGACGTTATGGCAGGCAAGTTGATCAGTGTGCCAAGCCCCGCCCCATCCTCTTGAACCATCCAAAGCAGTGCCTTGTGTGCACGACGCGCGCGGGGGGCGGGGTGCGGGAGAACCGAGGCCAGTGGAACGGCAGAGAGAGAGGGAGAGAGGGAGAGGGAGAGGGAGAGGGAGAGAGAGAGAGAGAGAGAGCACGAGGTGGCTTCTTGCCATCACACACACACACCTGTTGATGATGGCTTGCTGTGGGAAAAGAGAGAGAGGAGACAGAGACAGAGAAACAAACAGAGAAACAGAGAAAAATAGAGACAGAGAGACAGAGAGACAGAGAAACAGAGACACAGAGAAACAGAGAAACAGAGAGAGAAACAGAGAAACAGAGAGACAGAGACAGAGAGACAGAGAGACAGAGAAACAGAGACACAGAGAAACGGAGAAACAGACACAGACACAGACACAGACACAGACACAGACACAGAGAGACGGAGACACAGAGAAGAGAACCCCAAAAGCAACGGCGGAGCGACAGCGTGTCTGTGACTGTGACGGGCAGACGCACCCGATCAGACCAAGAGAAGACAGACACACACAGAGGGAGAGGGAGGCTTGGGCTTGATTGATGGAATGGCAGAGTGGGGGCGTTGTTGCAGAGTTGAGGGGCAGTTTCTGAGGGCTCTGTGGTGTTTGGGGCTGACCAGTGGTACGGGCATGGTTTTTTTTTTTAGCGTAGCTTCGATTGGGATGGGGTCAGGGCATAAAAAGGCAATGTTCAGAGGGGCGCCGCTGCTTCCTGTAGGACGTAGGCCGTGGCCAAGCCCGAAGCTGGCGCGGCCGTGCCTGAATAGGCTGCAGCATTGGTCTCCAAGCTGGTCAAAAGCGGGGCCACCCAGCCAGGCAGCTGTTCGGCGGAGGCATCCGCCCGACAATAGGCCAGTACGGAGGCGCGAGGCATACCAAAATCACCGACGGCCACCTCGGTGAGGACGACGCGCTGGAGGCGTCGCAGGCCCAATTCTTCGGCTGCGGCGTGTACGAGCGGCATGTTATAGTCGCGTCCGGGGTCTGAGAGCAGAAAGACGCCGTCTGGGCTGAGATGGTGCACCACGGCTGCCAGGAGCGTTCGCGCTACAGAACCAATGTAGATGACGTCGGCGCCCAGGATCAGATCGTAGCTGCCACGCTCAGTCTCGGGGAGCGGTTGTGACCAATTGAGGGTGGCTGTGCGAATGCGCGAATCGTCCACCACCCCGTTGCGCGCCAGCGTTTGGGCAGCGATTTGAACAGCTTCAAGATCAGCATCCGTGGCACAAACTGCGCCCTTGTGGCAG